TGTAAGTAAAGAAATCTTAATACTTCATAAGAAGAGTAAGAGGTTTACATTCAGAACAGCTTTCACTTAGACATGTTCAAACAGGAGCAGTCCCAGGTTTATGTCCCATTTAAAAGATGACAAGTTCAATACCACTCTTGTGCCTTTATGTAAAAAGTGAAGCTACAGAAAGTAACTAGTTAGCTTTGCTTAGCATAAAGACATACATATGACTCACTTGACATTATTTGTCTCATGCTAATTATTGAATCTAAAAGCTATGTCGTATTTTTTCACAACAAAGGAAATGAAACAGATTTATTCTCATTCAGGATGAGTGCTAGCCGTGCTTCCTCATGCCAAAAGGTCTTTCTATCTTAACTGTGTTTTCATTTTGCACTTGTGCTTTCACATGTTTGCTTAATTTCTGATAACATATAGAAAAAAAATGGCCAATAGAGCATCTTTAAATGTATACATTCTGATGAGCTCCTTACTTTAGCAGCAGAGCTGTCGAGATGAAATCAAACCTATGATTACATGATGCTAACCCCGTGCTAACTGATATTCAAATACATTTCAACTCTGCTGAAGTTATTCCTTGTAACTTTAAAGGTCCCATATTATGCTTTTTCTGGTTTTATATTTCCTTTAGTGTTTTCCAAGTGTCCTGTGCATGTTTAGGCACATCTGTGCAAAAATTCAAAGTCCGTGGAAACGCGGCTTCTCCTACGTCCTCCTGTTAGCTGTAGCATTAGCTGCATGTAACGCTCGGTTCTAGCCCCCCTCGATTAAAATGTGTCAGTCCGACGTCATTGTCAATGTGAGATCACTGATCTAAGCCCATTGGCTCGTTGTGGCAAGCCCTGCAGCTCATGTTGAAATTTCCGAGAAGCGTGCTGAGCAACTGACCAATCAGAGCAGACTTGGCCCACGTGGGGTCTAACAGTGTGGGCTCAACAGAGTGCAGCTGACGGACTCAGAGTGTAGAGGGAGCAAGGAGGAGCAGTACATGAAAACAGACACTTTTTTCAAACTTTATCTATTGTGAACGTACAAAAGTAGGTACATAGATTAAATATACGAACCCCAAAAAGGGCAGAATATGGACTTTCCACTGCTTGACTCAGCCTCTAAGTGGTGATATGCAAAACTATGTGGACATATTTATTCATATTTTAGGACAAAGAAAAACTAGGTCATGATGTCAGCCCCTTAAGAGCAGGTGAAGTAAACATTAGCAGTGACTGATTGATGCACAAACAGCCACTCCTAGGGAATGGTTATTATTGTTTGGCAGAAGAATGTCAAACGGGTTTGGTAAAGCGAAACATCTTTCCATAAACTCAAAACAATGGACCTGTTCATCATAATTTCATTGTTCACGACACACAACCTGACTCGTCATACAGCCAGGAACGCTGGTGTTGCCGATGGCTTTAACAAAGGCTGTATTATCAGATAGCGTTACATGGTTTTGGTGTAGTTGACGCTAAACTGAAATCCGACACCCACAGCAATAATGACATGAAACCCAATATTCTGCGTTTGTTAATAAAGTCAAAAAGAGAGATAGTTTGTGTTTATGCAATACAAGGCTTTGAGCTAAATGCTAACACATCCTAGTTTAGGATGAAAGCAATCTTACATTTGCTAATTAGCAGTACATGGACTAGAGCTGAGGATTCGTTTTGCAGGTTATTCAGTGATAAACAAAAGCCATCAATAAATCACAACTTTGGGGAGAATGCAACAGAGGATTTAAAAAAAAAAAAAAAGAAAGTCAGACGGGGTTCAATCTTTGCGGGGCCATAAATAAGCAGTTCTTGGCAAATCATTTTTTAAATGTTGAAACATTTCAAAAGATAAGTGAAACTGTTCATCTCAGGACGGGATCAAGGACAGTTAAAGGATCACCAAAGTCAACAGAGTTATCCTGTGAGGGGACAATAAAATATCTGACGGAGTGAGGGTCAAAGTTTGGTTCAAAGATATTTCTTTCTTTTTTTTTGACAAAAACTGATGGACGAACTGACAACCTGTCCTCAGAGCGATGGCACTTTTCAAGACAGAACACAGCAGACCTTGGACATTTCTCAAAAAAAGAAATCCAAATCAGCTGTGCTTGATATAATTCAGTTTGCAGTGAATAAACTAGATGTGTTCCAAAGTTAAGTTTTGTCCAAAGTTGGCAGCAAAGGCTCACTTTAGTTATTACCAGCCATGGAGTAGAAGAAGTAGAATATAATAGAATCAGCTTTAAGTTTAACCAAGTTTATCTGGCAGTATAACCGATCTACAGGATCCTTCATGTCAGCTACTTTTGTCCTCGTTTCACGCTGTCAGGACAATCAGGAAGACACAGATTGGTGGGAATCTAATATTTCCAGATAGGTTTGTTCAGTAAAGCCACTTCCTTCCAGCTTTTGTACCGCAGTACCTAAAAACATGCAGGACATAGTTATGAAAGCATACCTAGGATGTTTAAACCCACGACTTGTGAACTTGATCTCAAATTCAAGAACATACTCATCGTCCATTCTTTTTTTTTTTAATTATTTTTATTGACATTTTTATGACATCACAATACAAACAAGAGTGAAAACCCACAACCCAATCCATGGACATAAACCCCTACCCCACCCTAGGACACACACACACACACACACACACAACTAGAGAGCCAAGGACACAAAAAGCATACATATCATTATACATCATCATCCCTTCTTAATAATACACAGTCACTGAAATGCTCTGCCTGATGAGGCAGCTGCTCTCCTAACTACACCCCTCAGCTGTTGTTATAAGGTCATAAACACGCTCTTTATCACCTTATAATGATCATTTATAATTCTCACATTGCAGTTTTAGTGGAACCCGTTCCATAGGAGTGAGGGATCCTTCTTTCAGTCCTGTGCGGCTGCCTTCTTCTGTCCCTGCATTATACAACCGCCTGTTAAACTTATCTGCAAGGTTGTAAAGCAGAACATCCAGCTATCCAGAGTTCAACATCTCTGTCTTTCCTTTGTCTATCGTACCATTGTTCTCTTTCAGCTGACTTCTTCTTCAGCGTCTGTTAAAAGGTAGAATACACTGTAATGTATGAAAAGCTCAAAGGTCCACTTTAAGGCTCACTATAACATGTTTTATTGAGAGAGTGAGGAGTTATAAGGGCTCATAAACACACACTGTAGAACATTCAACATCACAAGTTGCTTTTGTTTTAAAAGCTGACTCCAGGAATAATCGACTTGTCTCTGTCAGCAGAGCTCCACAGAGCTGGTGTGCAATCTGTTTTTACAGCATGGGGCTTTAAGGATTAGCATGCGCCCTGGATGTTGTCATTAAACGGGTCCTTTTGGAAGTTAGACGCTGGTCACACTTGTGGTGACATGTACTGTAAACTGTGTATGCACATATTACGTCTCTCCTCTGGGTGATGAGTTGTCAGCGGACTCTGTCACTAATGAAAATGTTCAGATAACCTGCGAGATGAGGAGATTAGACGAGGCAGATAAAGAGAGAGAGTGAAGTGTCTAGACTGCACATCTGGCTTCCTTCTCAAAATATATTCATTCAACAGGTGGGATCTGTCTAAATGTTAACACTACATTTTTAATGAGGTTATTGAGACATATTACACACATGCACAAACAGGACCTGTGAGCGTGCATCTATGGAGAGATGTCAGAGTGGGGCTGCTACACAGGGAGCGCGTCAGACCTGTTTGGGGTTTGATGCCTTGCTCAAGGGCACCTCGGCCGTACTCGTAAAGTCATCTGGCACCTATCCAGCTACCAGACCAACTTCCATACACCTGGACTTGACCCCAGTAATGGCATCACCAGCTGGTTTGGTGTTCTAACAGTAAAATATAAAACTCAGACCCTCAGCCTGATTAAAGGCTTTATATACGGTTGTTTTTTGATCAAGCAGATGTCGCCTTTGAGCACCAGCATGAAACCAAAACAACTTGCACTGCATTGTTGTGTTAGCATGCTAATGCTAGCGATCTTTATTATGCTCGTATCTTCACACTGCATGTAAATTTACCTGAAATGAGCGTGATCTAGAAACACAGTTAAGCAGTGAGTACAGTATGTTATTCTTCTTTTCTCTAGTCCCTCAATTAAACAACTTTTATACACGAGGGGAGGAGTCAGCCGGCCATCCAGGCGATGTAAACAAACTGAAGATAGGACTCTGAAAACTCTGAAAACATCACAGACAGTGGGACTCGGGTGTTACACCCATTGTAGACAGTCATGACTCACAGAGTAAGCGTTTGGAGTGGCATGTGTACATGTGCACAGTGTGCATGTGATTGTAGGAGTGAGTGTGTGTGTGTGTGTGTGTGTGTATGTGTATGTGTATGGATACAGACGCTTGGATAAACTGTAGCAGGGATAAGCTAATGTTTTTGCACAATTGTAATTACTGTTTTTATATTGTTTTGATGTATTATCCATGCAGCAATTTCTCAGTATCCGAGACAAATTTCTCCCTAGGGAGACGAATAAAGAAACCTTGACCTTGACCTTGACCCTGCGGCCCTCCGGTTCCCAACCAAGGTCCCTACAGACTGAGCTACTGCCCCCCTAAACACAATCTGTGCAAACAATACAGTGAAAGCTATACAGAGAAGGTGGAAGAACCTGAAAGATCTATTAACAAAAACCAGACTTTGACTTAAAGCTGTGTGCTCAAGAATCCAGAAATGTTTGAAAACTCTTCTCAAAAAGGTCGAGGGCTTTGAAACAAATCACAAATGTCAAGGCCCCTTTAGAAATGTTAGGAATTAACCCTCACTCTTAAATATGCTGATGAATAATAACCAAAGCACCATATTAAAACAGCTGAATTTCCTCTACTTCAAATAAAGTTTGTGTTGTAAATTTTACATTTATGGTAAAATGCAGTTACGTCGAGATTAGCATGACCCCCTAATCAGCTCTGAGAGTCTGAAGTCGTGATCCTCCTGCTATTCAGGTGAAACATTTCAAACAGAAACATGTACATCATAGCTTTTAAATGAGTTTTAATTTTTCAAATCAGGAAGAATACAAAACATACTGTATATCACACTCTGTATATAAACATTTTATACATTTACCTTTTTCATAATGGGAGTAGTGGGATTTGTAGTTCAATAAAAACTACAAGATTGTATATTTCTTGTTGACACTTCCAACAAAAAGCACAAAAAAATCAAGCTGTACATTTTTTTTTTTACTGAAAACTTAAAGTCTTATAAAGATGGAGCATTATGCAAATGGATATTAGTATACCCAAGTTTATTTTTATATTCCCAAGGGGTATAATCTATGGCATTAGACCAAAATCCCCCTGGATGCAAGGACCAATCAGAAATGTGAGATTTAGCAGTAGGAGGCCAGGCTAGGATTTTTTTTTCCAATAAATGATAAAACAATGATACATTTTAGGGGCAAACATTTACACTTAAAAAAAGAGCTTTGGTACAAAAGGCTTACAACTACTGAGATTTGGGATTTGGAACATTCCACATCAGAAGCGGCCATCTTGTTTTTTAATCGAGAAAATTGCTCAGCGTTGCTTCAACAGGCTTTGTATTAAATGAGTGGTTTAAATTGGCCCAACCTGTATCAGGTAAGATAGAACATTTAGAAGACACTTCTGTCAAGTGCATTTCAAACACAGAGTCGTCAGGTTCTCATGTTGTAATACACGTATAGGTGCTAAAAAAGCACAAAAAAAAAAAAAATACAAATAAATGATAGAATAAATATTTTTGAAGGATCACAAGGAAGGCACTTTTCATTTTTTTTCCTGCACCAAGTATCAGTGAACAACATTTGAAACACAGACACATAAAACGTCTAATGCGGTCAAGGCTTTTGGTTGGCTGAGTAGATTTCAAACACACTTCAAGACTTCTGAATAAGTTGCACATCAGACGACCCGGGTCGTTGACCCTTCAGAGGGAGTGTCGTCTTGCCCTCTGTTCCAGGGTTTTTCCTTTTGCTTGTAGAAACCCTGTCAACTGTCCGGACTGTCGGTGCTTTAAAAGCTGATTTTCTCCTCATAGAGTGACAGCAGCAGCAGAATACCCCACCCAATCAGGAGGCCCAGATTCTGCAGCAGAAACATCAGCCAGGGTCTCTTGTTACTGATGTGGACCATGGTGGGGAGCTAGAAGCAAAAAGGAATAATGCATGTTAAAGAATTAAGTTTACATTTGGATCATATTTTTTTTTGCTGGCTTCAGTTTGTTTATCCTTCTGATGACTCACCATATCGGCGAGCCCCACATACAGAAAGAGCCCTGCAGTGATGGCAGCTATCCACTGTTGGGTAGCGAGGTCAGTGGCTACAGACAGAGCGATGTACAGGCCAACAAAAGAGGTCAAAGAGCTGCCTACATTCAAGAGTAATGCATTACGGACTGACACACCACTGTGGAGCAAAATTGCAAAATCCCCTGGAGAAAAAACAAAAAGCGAACGACTGATGGTTAGAAATATTTGACGCAAATGTATGACAGAGACTCTGCCAGTCTTTGTGTGTTTTTTTTACCCAGCTCGTGTGGCAGCTCATGGCAGAGTACAGCCAGTGATGTGGCCAAACCAGACCTCCACGACAGGGAGAAAGCTGCACCCATTGCTAAGCCGTCTGCAAAGTTGTGGATCCCGTCACCAATGGTAATCATAAAAGGCAGCAGACGCTGCTCTGCAGAGGCAGACGGAGGTGTAGTTAGTGGTGGAGTGCTGGTGGTGATGACATGATGGTGATGGCATTATGTTTTTGTAATGGAAATGACTTCACTCACCTCTGGTGCGCTCTTTGTGCTCCGAGTGTGATTTTTCATTTTCTTCATTGCCTACCTGAAATGTACACGAGTAGTTATAAAACCAAATCCTGCTACAAACTTCAAGATTTAAGCAGAATCAGAATCGGGGTTTATTGCCAAGTACATTTACACATACAAGGAATTTGACTTGATGTATTAGTGCTAAACAATTAACAAGGAAATAAAGCAGAACTAGCAACAACTTAAATAATACAGTATAAGAAGATATTACAATATATAAAATAGAATTTAAAAATGTTAAATATTAAATATTAAAAAATTAATTATAAAAATATATTAATAATACGCCCATGTAACCAGAGTTTTCTTACACAAGGGAGATGCACCATTGATTAGTTTTTCAAAACTTAAAGCAGAATTCATTTTCCTGCTTTGTGTTTTATTTAATATTTCTTCTTAAACATCCAAGTGTTCTTGTGTGTTAGTTTCTCACCAGATCTGTTTTCGATGCTGTGTGTTCTTTCTTATTTCTTTCCTGTTGGTACATCTCTAAAACCCTCCCGTGGTCACAGTGGTGAGGCTCAGATTCTTCCTACAGAAAGAAAGAAAATGTTTTAAGAATTTGCAAAAGAAATGGGAGGTTCTTGTTAAATACCTGTACAGATTCTAAGGAATGATTAACAGGACATTATATTAGTCCAATAAAAGATAACTAAATATACGTAGCTGTGTTTCATAGTGTGTAATGGAAAAAATTCTGTTTACTGTCGAGGACACATTTTACTTGAAATGCAACAATAATTGAATATGTATAATATTCTTGTTTTGTCTTCACCCGAGGATGAAGGTTTCTCACAAATAACTAAATATCAAAGATACTCAGACTTGAAGTTTCCTTGACGTTACGGTTGTGCGACGTGTTAAAATGTATGACAAAATGTACTTGATATTTGACTGCGCCTGTATCGGCAATCCTTATAAGAGATAAGACACTTTATTGTCATTGTATGCAATACAATGAAATTGATGGACGCTACAGCTTGGGGGAAGAAACTGTTCCTCAGTCTATTCGTCCTGGTTCTAATGGTGCGATACCTCTTTCCAGAAGGTAGGGGGACAAACAGTCTGTTTCCTGGGTGTGTTGTGTCTTTGCTGATGTTAGTTGCTCTCCTTTGTAGGCGGCCAGCATACACAGCATCAAGGTCCGGAAGCACAGCTCCTGTGATCCTCTGCGCTGTTCTTACAATCTGAGTCAAGTCCTTGCGGTTTTCTGCTGTGCAGCTGCCGTACCACACGGTGACACATTGATAGAGGATGCTTTCTATTGTGCTTCTGTAGAAGTTGACCAGCAGTTGGGAGGATAGTCCGGCTTTCCGAAGTTTTCTTAAAAAGAAAAGCGTCTGTTGAGCCTTCTTTACCAGGTGGGACGTGTTGAGAGACCATGTTAGTTCCTTGGTTATGTGGACACCTAGGAATTTGATGTTTTCCACAATGTCCATCTTCTCACCGTTTATGTGCAGTGGGGGGGTTGTGGTCTTCTTTGTTCTTCTAAACTCCGCAATTATCTCTTTTGTTTTCATGGTGTTGAGAACCAGAATAGTTTCTGAACACCACTCAACTAGATGTTTGACCTCGTCCCTGTAGTGTGCTTCCTGGTTGTCTGTAATGAGTCCAACTACAGTGGTGTCATCAGCGAACTTTACTATAGTGTTGGAGGAGTGAATGGGTGAGCAGTCATGGGTGAACAGGGCTGGACTATATATATAGGCATGAAGGTTTTTCTGTGAAACATGTGTATATAAACCAAAGCATATTGTGATTACTTGGAGCTTTCCTTCAGACTGTATTGACACTCTGAAGCTTTGTTCCTTCTACTTGCAAGAAGAACAAAACTAAACAAAGACACTGACTGACTCATGATCCTTTCTTTTTGCATTGTTAACAGACATTTCCAGCACAAGTGAAAAAATGTATGCATTTTTTTGCAAAAATATAAATATATCATTAGAGCTGCTGCAGCATTTGGAAAAGAGCACCAAGATACAAAGGAAAGCACGTTTATTAAAAAACATTTTTTTGTCAATTTTTTATAATTTATGGACAGGTTACCTCGCTTCAAAAGAAATACTTTAAAGACTTTGCAATACAACAATGAGTAAGGTCTTTCACCTGCTTTTTTCTAAAGAGTCTTGAGATAACATTTATTAAGAATAAGCGCTGTACAAATAAAGATTGATTGATTTAAAAGACTAAACAAACTGAGCTGTAAACTTGACTTAAAAGTGTAAGAAATAAACACAATAACAAGTAAGCATTTAGCGTTTCTTTATTCCTATTCTTTTTAGCCTGTTTGATATGAATGTTCTCTTACCCCATGGTGATGTTGATGGTGGTGATGATTTTTGTTTTTATATGCGACCAGAGAGAAGATGGTTTCCATCAGGTAGAAGTAGTAGATTCCAGACAAGAGCACCAGGATCTTATAAATGTAGTCTGGAGTTTCTTCCTGGTGGCCGTCGTGTGAATCACCCTCATCTGAGTGAACATGCAAACCTAGAAACTGAATACACAGAGTGGGAGAATAAGTCGATGTACAGTAAGTAGATGCTGCACTTCAATGATGGAATTTTCCACAGTCCAGAGCTTTAATTAAAGTGATATCTGACTTTCAGTATTCACACAGCTGCATAATGATGTCTATAACATGAATGTAAGATTTTTGATAACACTCATTATTCTTAACTTGGCTTTGAAATTAAAACATACTTACCATGGGTAGAAGGTGCAGAAAAGCATCTCCAGTGAGTGAACCTACAGCCAGGCTGATGCAGAACTGGATACACAACTGGAACACAGAGGTGCAGGAAGTACAGAGCAGCAAGAAGATGCCACACATGGACGTCAGTGTTATCAACAGATTGGCAATGGTTGCATAGATGTATCCTACAAGAGAGATAGAGAGAGATAGAGAGAGAGAGCAGATAAGGTGGGTCAACCTCAGTTATCAACATGTGGAATCTGAAGACTAAAAACTCTTGTCTCTTTTGGAGACAAAATATGCACGTTTGTGTGAAATGTCATTGTCTTGTTCATTCATCTTTTGCAGGTCTTTATCATGTTAACATGGAGAAGCAGCTTTCAGTTTCTGTGCTCCGTATATCTGGAACAAATTCCCAGAACAAACTGCAGGTCTGTTGAAACTCTCAGCTCTTTTAAATCGAGGTTAAAGACTCACCTGTTTACAGCTGACTTTCATTAAACAGCTTTAATAAGATTTTAAACTTTAACCTTGCACTGTAACTTTTAACTCTTTTTACTTCACTTAATTTCATTTGAATTATTTTTATTTGAACATATTTTCAGATATGGAGTGTCCCAATCATTTCAGTGATTTCTTTAATGTTCTATTTTAATGTTTCTTTTCTTTTCTCTGTCATGATGCTTTTGATGTCTTGTGTGAAGCACTTTGCTTTGTTGTTGAAATGTGCGACATAAATAAACTTGCCTTGCCTAAAAACACAGTTTGAAGATCTGTATATTACAATCTTGGGGCACTTGAAAGGGAACAGGAAAAGGAAAGACTGCCGTCCTTTTATCTGTTAGGCCTCAAACTCTTACTCACTCTCTGTCTTGGTGAGTCCGTCTGGTGTCAGCGGTTCATGGGTGTCCGCGCAGGCTCCGCTCAGGATCTGCTGGACGAGGGCAGGGCTGAGCCGAGCCAAGCGGACCGACCCAGGCCAGAGGAGGTGGAGCTGTTGTCCGCCAGGCCGTAGATCAGGACAAGCTCTTTGGCAGTGAGACACAGCTGAAAGTGAAAATCTAAATTTAGAGACTTAAATGCAGAAGTCCACTAGTAGAATCAGCTGGATTGCACAGCACAGGTCGGAAATGGCGACTGTGGACTTTTTTGTGTGTTTGTGTATGTACCTGATCCGAGGTGACGTTTGCTTCATGCCCCTCGTGAATCTCATGGCTGCTCCTTTTCCTCCGTCTCAAACCACCATGATCATGAGCGTGTTCCTGCTCGTGTTCTTGATCGTGTTCTTGATCATGGTCCTCGTGTCCATGTTCATCTGTTTCCTTAGATCCGATTTTCAGACTCTTCATGAGAGCTTCCAGATCTACAGAACAAAACATGAGTTACTACTAATCAAATTAACTGGAAGTTAAAAAAAATAAACCTAAGTTGTGTTTATCAAAAAAATAAATATATAAAACACACATATTTAAAATAAATGTGCTCTTTTATGTCATTTCATTTGAATTGTTTTAGTCCATTTCTGCATGTGTCTGTGTGCTCTTTGCGTTTCTTAAGGTCATTTTACCCCAGACTGTGAAATTCTGTGACCCCACATGGTCCAGGATGTAGTCGAGGAAGAAGCTCTCTTCAGGCAGGGAGCGGCTGATGAAGCATCGACCCAGCAAGGCGTGGTACAGGACACGGCCCAAAACTGCACCGACTTCCTGTTCCGTATCTGGTGAAGATGCGTTGACCTCCATCATGATTTGATCGGCTGTCACACAGCTCTGGTTACCAAGGAGATGAGGGAGAGGAGTGAACAAAAGAAAAAAAGTTATGACTTTTATTTACTCTTTTTAAAATTAGAGCTAGAAATATTTATTTCAGCCATTTCATATTAGAAGCTATTTCTTTGGGGGATTTCAGACTTTTTAAATCAGGCAATTGGTTTAGAGGTTTTATCAAACAATGTGCGGAGGCTGTGGTCCTCCAAGCGGGTGGCCCAGGTTCAAATCCAACCCTGTGGCTTTATTTCCTGCATGTCATTCCCTACTCTCTCTCTGTCCCAAATTTCCAACTCTATCCACTTTCCTGTCTCTCCAATAAAAGGCACAAAAAGCCCAAAACTAAATCTTAAAAAGAAAAATAAGAAGATAAATGTTCCAGAAACTGGATACAACATTGTTATATTCTGCAGATAACATATAGCTGTTAATAAAAAGTATATCGTTATACAACAATGGCATGTTTGAGTTAATTTTTAACTCTTTTGATGATTTCTAGCTTTACATCCTGGGTCTGATATAACTGCAGTTTCAGACTTTTAAAGGGGGCACTCTTCATCACAGTGGCAGATGGTGATGTGTTTAAGTACAGGGCAAAGCCTAGTATTTCTTCTGCTGGCATCATCAGTATGTGATAAGATAAGTTGAGTGATAAAACCTTGCCATATACACAGGGAAACACACCCTGGCAGGATAATTCTACTCATAGCAAAAAAACTCCTGTGAGAATTGTGTCTTTCTTTTTTTAAATTTGCAAGTTGCATAAACATAATGGGTAAATGATCAACATCGGAGAGTGAGGGAGAGCACCCCTAATAATTAAAGAGATGATAATGGCTGTGCTTACCTCACTGTCTGAGGGCTCATAGTGGTCGTGAAGCTCTTCAATCAGAAGTTTTAATCCATGAGTGTCTATGTGCTCGTGTTCGTTTTCATCTTCATGGTGTGTCTCCTTTTCTTCATGCTCCTGTTCGTGGTGGGGATCTTCATGTGTGATCTTATGCAGGAAATGCTGGGTCTCCTCTCCCCATGCCCCCTGCTTTGCCGCGGCACACACCTGGCTGGGAGACGACAGGTACAGGAGGCTTCCTGCGGCGACAGCAGGGAACTCAGATACACCGACGGTAACGTTTAGTCCCGAGTGATTGCTGAGCAGCTGGTGAACAGCATCCGCTAAATCACACTACAAACACAGACGAAGCATTCACACAGGGAGAAAAACAAACAGACTGATTTATATAAGTACAAAATAAAGTTATTTATTCTGTGATGACATTAAGAGTGAATCACTTCTTTAAGAAAAAACAACAACTCACAACATAAGTTTAAAAATGTCTAAATAAAACCATGTCTGTGTTGTTCAACTAGAGAGAAAGTCTGTATGTGCCACATGACTCATCCATCTTCATATTGTTTAACTAAAAGTTGTATACATGTATTTATAGAAAAAAACACAGCAACTTAAAATATATTCATTCCTATTTACATGGTAAACATATTAATGTTTAATTAGCCGGCCGATATAAGCACATCATGTGACTATCAGTATCAGCTAATTTATCTCCAATATATGCCGATATAATTAAGTTGATTATATATATATATATATATATATATATATCATATACATGTATAAAATTAATATTGGTATCGGCCTCAACAATATATGGACTATTGTGCAAACATGCATATATATGTAGCCACTATCTTCATGTATCATCCATTTCATGTTTTCCAACAATGATTTTGTATACACACATTTTATAATGTTTTTTAATTTTTAATTTTTAAAATTTTATTTAACCAGGAAAAAGTCTCATTGAGATTAAAAATCTATTTTACAAGAGCGTCCTGGCCAAGACAGGCAGCAGCACAGTTACAGGGTTTCAGACATAAAACACTTAAAGGGATACTTGACCCGTTGAAACATGAATCTGTATTGACATTGGGTCATGTATGTAGTAGAAATGTGAAATACATTTTTTAAGTTGGTGCCTTCTTGGCCTTGAAAAGGCAGAAAGTGTCTTTTTGGCTCGTGGATGAAAGACACCAAATCCCAGAATGCACAGCACCGCAGGCCACTCCCACTAAGGTCCTCAATTTCAGAATCAGAAATACTTTATTAATCCCAGAGGGAAATTCGATCGATACAATTTCTCCAAAATATACAGTATAGCAGGAGAAATATAGTAATAAAAACAGTGTTGTAGTTTCACCCCGCTAACCACAACAGCTTCCAGTGACTAAAATTGTTATTTTGCGTCACTGGAAGCTCCTTTTCAGACTCAGAAATACAAAGATTTCCCATCTCAGGGGAAAATGAGGGAGAGATTGTTGTAGTTTGAAAGGTTGAATCATAACAGAAGTACACATCTGGTAAGCAACAGGCACAAATGTTGTAATTGCTCAGTGTGATGATTGCCCATGACGGGATGATTGGGATGTTATAAAGGAACTGCTCCAAGAGGAATAAACAGATCCTCAATTCACAAGCCATAGTCTCTGTCTGATTGTTCAAGAGCATTTACTCTTCTACATAATGGCGCTGCGAGCACACTAGGAAGAGTGACCAGACACCTGCGGCATCCAGGGCTGGAGTGACACTGCACAGTGGCCACAACAAAAGCTAGGAGCTTTATCTTACCAAAATGTATGTGTACAGTCTGATTCCATGCCTGGGATGAAGTAATAGGTGTCTAACAATTCTCCAAAAAGAACCTACATGTTTCTGTAAAAATGTTAACAGAGCAATTGGCTGTGAATCTGAGGTCCACTCACACACTTGCTGGGGCAGCTTGACCCCAGAGTCAGGAGGGAGGAGAGGACGCTGTGTTTCAGTAAATTAACCTAGGAATGAAAGTATCAGAAATAAGCTTATTATAAGTGTAAACTTATTAAGAGATAGGCCTGAGTATGCCAAGAGTGGCAGAATGTCAAGGATGACAAACCTTTGAGTATTTATGCCAAGAGGGCATGTTATTATGTGAAATGCCCAGTGTGGAACAGTAGAAATAGTTCTCTGACCCGGAGAAAAAGTTACACTGAGAATAAAGCCAGACTGTGAACTTCACACTCAACTGAAACACAGAAAAAGACTAGTTCTTAATGTAAAGTATAAGTGAAAAAGTGTTGCAGTCTCTATGAAGATGGGTATTATTAACATATCTATTTATATCCAGTCAGTTTAAACTGGAGCTACGTTAAGTAGCTGTGATGTGTAGTGAGGGAGTCAGAAGACAGAATAAACAGATTAACTCTGTTTCAGATTAAGGATGAATAAGAAAAGAATAAACAATGTTTGGCGTTGCTATGTATAGGATTATGTCGTTGTGTATACGTTTCTATATGTGTCAAAGAGAAAATGTGAATTTCTGGCCATTCAAAAATACTACCAGGTTTCTAATGATACAAAGCTTTAATGCAAATGGGTGAAGTATCCTTTTAACAACAATGAACATAAATACAGGAATCACAAAAAGAACCATTCATCAGAATCTGTCATAAGTCATCATAGAGCAATCAAAAAGGGCAATACGAGTTAGCTAAAAACCTCCATCAGAAACAAAACATAAACCAGGGTCACTTTATAGTACACATGTGCACAAACTTGGACAATAAAGCAGACCATGTTTCAGATCAGCTGCCTTTATTGTTTTTTTTATGAACTATAATATGAACAAGGTTGGAGGGAAAGTAGGGCACAGTATATTTTGTATAGAAACGCCATGAACTGATGACAATGATCTATCTAGACCCAGAAAAAATCTGAAAATGTATCTTTAACAACAGGGCTACATATGAAATAAAACTGTTTATTCGAGCAGGTGTAGGATGGCAGGTTTTCCTAAAGGGAACTCTTTGAAATCTAGCTGACATTATCTCACCTGGGTGTCGGATCAGCTTTATGATTTTATTGAACCTCATGGTAGTTTGCTTTACCTGCAATAACACCTGTTACAATGTATTGGTTATAATGGTTTATTACTCACACACTGTGGTGTCATCCAATCTGTTACCCTCAACAAAGCATTTCTTTTTCTTCTCTCTTCATTTAAAGCAAGGGCGTAACTTTGAGTTGAACATTGGGGGGGTTGAGATGTCTGCCTGTGAAGCAGGTCTGAGGACATGCCCCGCAAGTTTTAGACATAAATTCAAAGCAACATATAAGACAACTTTCCAACACAACACACCTTACAATCAAACAGGATTGTATACTGAACTTTACATTGCAGCAAAACGTTGTCATTTTCTGAGGTTTCAGATGAGCAGGTAGGAATGGTATGCTCTTACAAGGCACAATTTAAATACAAAAAGTCCAAAAAGCAACATCGACATGATATCCTTATCATTATTTCACGGAACGATCTTTGGCTGATCAAGTGACCGCACAGAGCTCTCCTGGGCTCAATGATGACAAAGTCGCCTGTTAGCTGAATCTGGCTAACTGGCTAAGTCACAGCACAGCAGAAAGTAGGACTAACTTTTGTTCAGTTAACATTATTTGACTCGTGAGTGGTGGCACTGGAGCCCTAGCAGTAGCGTACCTCGTGTTGGGAGATATTTTTATTATTTTGCCCAACCAACAACTTAAAATTGTTGGTTGGGCTTTCTTTGTCTGTCGTGCTGGCTTCATACATAGACATACATAAAGAGAGACGAGGGAGGGACGCACAGGTCTGAGGTGGGCAAAACCAAATCTCAGAGCGGGAGGGGGCGCAGATAAAGGTCACTATTTTTTACTGCTAAATTGAAAAAGTCTACCACACTGTCGTGTTTATAAAACTTAACATTCATTATCAATAATTATGATATCATATTGGGTGGGTTGTGGTGGCTGGTTTGGATTATTGGGTGGGTTGCAACCCCATAAATTACGCCTATGATTTAAAGACATTCTCTGGCAGAACTCAGAGTTACACAGCGTAGATGTATCCTACTAGGAAGAGTGGTACACAGCGGATACTTATCAAATAAACTCTGTAATGTCATGCAGATTACAGCCGACATGCCAATGTGTCAAGTTCAGGGACTTCACCCTCATTCACACTCATAAAAGAGTTATATGTGTAAACGCTGCAGATAATAAAATAACTAAAATAATATGATCAGCAGATTGTTGAACAAGACTGGTAATATTAAGAGGAGTTATTTTGTTATTTCATACACTTGACACTTTTGTGAACTACATTTTTGTGTTAACTGTATTAAAAAGTAAGCACGTTGTTCACTGTCTCATTAAGCTTTGTAAATGTAATATTTTACCTGATAAAGGGACTGAAAGCTACATGGTTGTATTTGGAACATATATATCTATACATTGACTGAAGAACACAAAATAATCAAACAAATTAATTTGAAGGGGGAGAATCTAATGTTTAATGTGCAAAACTCAGGCGATCACTTCTTAGTTTGTGTTTCATTACTGTGCTTAAAGTCATGACTTAACTACACCCTGCTCAGGTCATATATGCTATACTGTCATATCTATGTTAATTCAAGTGGTAATTCAAGTGCAAAATCGCACACAGGAAAAAAACATACTTTATTAGTATGGCCTTATATTAGTTTCTTTATCTTAAAAATGCATACTGAAAATAAATCCAAAAATTGAAATTAAGATTATTCCTTTGTTCTTATTTTATTTCCTAAATATGAATGATGTAGGCAACAAGCTAACACATTCTAAATGTACATATCGAGTTCATCAGTACGAGTCCGGATCACAACTTTGGACATCGACCTCTCTGTGCAGCGCTTCAGCCGCCCGGCTCTCTTTAGCTGGCTGCGGAGTTAATGTAATAAAACTTACCTTTTCACACGACACTCCACCGCACTGCACACGTTTCTCCAGTGTATTAAAGAGGCTGCGGAGCGAGTCCCCCGTCAGAGACTGCTGCCCCGGAGACACCACGCTCACCACGGCACCGTACGCTTCCTCCACGGCGGGAGAACCAGAAACGGAACCGAACGAACCCAGACCGGCAAGAATCAGCAGCGCGGAGAAAAACATATTGAAACTTTTCAAAAAATTACGTTTGATGGATTAATTTCAAAAGGAAATAAATCAAATATGTGGTAAGATGAGCAGATTGAGTCTCGGTGTATTTCTACAGCCACATTGAGCTGTTTGGAGCTCCACTCACGGCTGCTCTCTGTTTAAAATCACTGCACATTCACTGGACCTGGACTCTGCATCGTGATTGGCTTATCGCCTGTACCTTTGTGTCACCTGTACAGGGTAGAGGAGGTTTGCTCTACGCTCCTTCCTGTGGGCAGAGGAGAACAACATCTTTTGTGTGTGCAGATTTTTTGCAATAGCCCACAAGAAGACTACAACTAGCTTTCTATCCATGCACTTTGACTTTTTATTTAATTGTAACATATTTGATCTTTTTAATGTTGCACATATCCAGTAGGTTTCACATAAGAGAAATGTCCTTGATATGATTCAGGATGAGAACTATAAAATGCTGTTATAGTCAAAGTGCTGAAGGTTCTTAAGTTGAACAGGAATTTGATGAAATCACATTTAATTCAGTTTAGTGATAGGACCATATTTCTTGGTTTAAAACATAGGCCAATTTGATAAGCTGTCAGCTTATTAAGGACAAAAGCTGATGACCGCATCAGCGCGGTCACACTGGTCATCTGTACCGTGCTGTACTCAAGCACGACCCCCCCCCCCCCCCCCCCCGCAGCGCCATTTCCACGCTGGCCGCGGTCACACTACACAGGACTAACCGTGCTTAAGCACGATTACCTCTTGGACATAACGTCTTAATACAACACATGCACGCTTTATGTTATTATGAAGCGTGCTCAGTTTACAAACAGGCGGACGAGAGAGAGAGAGAGAGAGAGAGAGAGCATTACAGCTACAGCTTATTTTAAGCCATTTTAATCAGACACAGCAATAAATAAAATGTAAAAAAATAGACATGCGACGGAGTCCGCGCGGATGGGTTAGGGTTAGGGCCAGTGTGAGCGTGCCCCGTGGGGCACCCTAACCCTAACCCACGGGCCCCACGGGCACGGTCACAAGAAGACCCTGCCTTTCATAGAAAAAATACATGCTCAAGAACCAGATGTTTTTATGATACATAGGACAGGTATTAATTATAGATTTCAACCAAATAACTAAAATTAGCTGTCTGATGAAGACAGAGACTGGCATATCAGATTTAGTTTTTGCAAAGGTAAATGTAAAATATGAGACATTTGAAGCATTAGCATAATTCAGCAGACATAAAATATACCCTAACTAAATATTGTCTATCGGTGAGTAATGCATTTCTAAAAAGACAGTGAAGTCAAACTCCCTCAGGTATTCTTGAGCTCTGTGTTCATAATGGATGGTGCTTCCTTCAGCTTGTTTATGTTTTGCTCAGAGGCTCCAACATGTTTCATTCACTTGAACTACTCCCTCTTCAACCATTAGCCCTGCCAGCACATTAGTGAAGATGATATATTGGAGTTATTGAAATGAGTCTGAGCGGCTGCTGCTAAAGTGTAGCATCTACTGGAAATCCACTCTTTAAATATGTTTACACCTTTCCTATAATGACTCCAAAAGGTCATGTTAGCACTTAACCATAGACCACATGTAGATAGTAAGTACTTATCAAATTTGTTGTTTTAATGGGACACATTTGCCCTATGTCCCTCTGGTTAGTCTCAGTACATTATCTTTCCAGTTGTTGCTCATGTGTTTCAAAAAAACTGATTTGTCATATTTTCTACCATTTAAAAAAAAAAAACTATAACCTGGGTTCAGTATTTGAGCTTCCAATAGACATACAATGAGAAAACACAACTTAAGATGCAACAAAAAGACATGCAAGTAACTAAATAATAAAAAGAAGTAGGCCTAGATACAGACTAAACATTTCAACCTCAAAATAAAGTGTTCAAGACACTATACAGACACTATGCACTATGATTTAAACACATAATTTGTCATTTTTGCTTATTTTCATTTATTTTAACCAGCCTTGTCTCTATTTTTTATACCTTTTTGATAATTATTAAGACTGTTGGAAATTATGTCTTTGGACCATTTAGTAGTTGCTGAGTAAAAAGATAAACAGAAAGTAACACAAACATTTTTAAAGTCTGAGTTTTTGCTAGCTGAAATTAGCATCATAGTTCACAGTTAGCCTAAAGATGGAAGTATTTATACCATTTATACATTTAGGCATTAGAGTTGAGTTGCTGAAACAATCCAACATGCATCAAACAATACTACATTGACTGAGACTTTGAGATGTAAAACCCCCGTGTGTATGTGTATTTGTGTTTTTGTGCAGACAATGTATTGTAAAAAGTGAAGGTGCACAATTTATACAAAGGAAGTGCATGTAAGTTATGTAAAATAACAGCAGATGGCGCTGCTGCTCTTAGAATCAACAGAATGACTGCACCAGAGCAGCAGTCCTCCAGAGAGTGCGTCCACTAAATCATGAAAAATACACATTAACGGATTGAAACGTTTATTTATTTATGTATTTTTGTTTTATTGATGTTGATAACAGAGGGTAACTCTATGCTCTGAAGTAAATACGTTTAGTATTGCTGAAGTGCATTGAATAACAATGACAATGTGGCCAACTTCATTATTCCTCCATTCTATTAATATAATATTTGTTTGATTTGAGAGTTTGATGGAAATAAATCAAATGAAATTTCACTTCAATTTGAGAAAATGAGGAGGTGTATTTGTCATGTGTCTCGTTTCTTTCCACTCAATATTATTCCCCTAAATTCTCAGTGTTCTATTTTTCAGTGTGATAAAATATAATATATGCCTTGAATGTCATTGGAAATAGTGAAGGCGGCGTGCTAGAAATGAAACTGAAAATCTTTCTTTTAAGGGTTATCTTTGGGCTTTTTACACCTTTAATGTAGAGTTTAATGCAGTTGATAGAGTCGGAAATCAAGGAGAGAGAGATTTAGGAATGACATGCGGGAAAGGAGCCACAGGTCGGATTTGACCTGGGCTGCCCATGCTGACGACTACAGCCTCTAACCACTAGGCCACTGGCGCCCTGAAACTCTTTCTATTAATTAATGTCAATCAGCTTGTAAAAAAAATTACGCAGTTTGTTCTTGATTTTTTTTCTTCTAAAAATTCTGTCAGACCACCTGCAGCAGTGTTGATGTTACTCATCTAATTGTGATTCCCAAAGCTTTGGGATTGTCAAAGTCTTCATATGGCAACAAGTAAATGACCTACAATGCCATTCCTCGTGCATACATCTATGACAGTGTTTATTGTTTGTGTTTGTGTTTGTGTTTGTGTTTGTGTTTGTGTTTGTGTTTGGTTATCTGGTGTTGTGGGATTCACAGATCGTCACTTGTTCCTGTGTTGCTTTAAGTTTGAGACTTAAACTGAAATTGTGTCAACAGTCAGTTGCTGTCGGCCTCAGAAATCACTGATGGGAAAGATATTGAGTTGATTGGCTGCACATCACTTCACACACATGAACAGACAGCAACACACACACACACACACACACACACACACACACACACACACAGACACACACACACACACACAGAAGCACGCTTATTGCATGGGACTGTGGACATCTGCCCCTGCATACAATCACACACACACACAAGACATGATGACCCCCGCACTATAATCTTTGAGACAAAACACACACTGTCCTGACCTGTTTTTACACCCCCCAGAGTCATGTCACTCTCTGTTACGTTTTCTGTCATGCAAACCTGTAGATGTTCTCAACACACACATTCATCAAGTCCCACTCAGTATTACCCTATTATTCATACACACACACACACACACACACACACACACATACGCACACTCTCATCATCATCTTATTTCCCTTTGCAGAAACATCAGGTAACCGTTTTTTGACATTTGTTTTTATCATACTGTGTTTTGATAAACACCATCTGCTCCTTATTCCTCTTGTATTCATATTTTTATGAATGGAATATGCCAATAATAACTAATAAAAAGCATGAATCATAATCAAAAGCTATAAATCACAATGATCCTTCGAACTATACGATAAAACCTTTTTCATCCATATTGTAAGAAACGTACACCAACAAGCACATTAACATAAATAGAAGTGAAAACAACACAACATGGGAAATACCAAATACTGATCCAGTTATGAAGAAAAAACTCATAAGCCTATGTGTCATCACTCTGGTTTTTCCCAGCTCATAGGTTGAGATAAGAGTAGCATTATTCATCCTTTAGTGAAGTTTACGAGCTATCTTTCTGCTAGCTGCATCCATAAGGTCATATATGCATCAATCATTTTCATCCAGTAATTAAATATTCATTATATTGAAATGGACCATTCTGCAAAATCAGTGTTCTTTTTTTTTAACCTTAGCTATATATTTAAACTTGTTTCATTTTGCTGTTTGAATCCAGGACTTACTTCAACACTGTAATGTTTCTAATATTTTACTAAAATGTAATTTGAGGACTTCTTTTATTACTGCTCTGTAGTAATGAAGATGAAGTGACTCTGAAGGGCTTCCTGGAGAAACACTTTCCTCTCAGAGGACACTACACTCTCTTAGTCTTTCTTTTCTTCCCCCCTCCTCTACAGATTTGTCACTCTATTTCTCCCTCTCTTCCCTTCTTTGTCTTTGTCTCTCTCTCTCTCTCTCTGTCCTCCCATCTTCCCCCCATGGTCTCGTGCACACTCGCCGCCTGGCCTCAGCCCTACTTTCTTTCTAAGGCTGATGTTTCCATTACAGAAATAAAAGCATGACGGCTAATCCAGTTATATGTTCCCTGGACGGCACACACACCAAGACATACACACACCCACATGCAAAGACACTAAAATGAACATTATGCATAAATACACAAGCACATAAATACACATTAAACACACTTTAATAAACGTTAAAACCTGCTGAAACACAAAACAACAAAAGACACACATGTTGCAAGTGGACAAGCACAGACTACACACACACACACACACACACACACACACACACACATAGAGGGCATGTGATTGAAGCAGGACCCCCTGATGTGAAAAAGTCAAACAGAGCATTCGTGAGCTCTGGAAATAAACACCAAACATTGGTAATCCACAACACACACACATATGCAGACCCGTAGCAGCACACAAATACACACACACACACACACACACACACACACACACACACACACACACACACACACACACACACACACACACACACACACACACACACTGATAAGCCTTCATGGCGATATCCAACAGAGCTGCACATCCCTTCTCTGGAGAGAAAAAAAAGGTTGGAAAAAGGGGTAAAGAAAGACGAGTGTCAGACTTCCTCATCCACCTCAGTCTTATCTTTTCAGAAGTCATAAATCATTGAGGGCATTCTAGTCATTAAGATTTATTTAGTAATAAAAGCAGGCCTGGTTCTAGGGTGAAAAAGGTGGCATTGCACCCTCATTTTAAGTTTCTGCACCCCTCAAGTCAATAGATGCAAAACAAAAAGGACTTTTATAAGTAACCAAAGCTTTCAAATGACAACATTGACTTACAGTAGATTGTGTTTGTTACATCCATGATCTGATGGTCATGACGTATATGTGACCTGTCTGTTCACTGTGGACCACATGAGGGACCCTTTACACCTACACTGTTTTTATTTTATTTTGCTGGTCACTGAAGCTGCACCCTGAGTCATTTTGTTCTAGAAACGTTCCCGAGTACAAGGTGGAATAGAATCACAGCGTGGACACAAACCTATCATGAAAACGTAATATCTGTACACACACAAGAGGGTGGCATCTCTCTCGCTCTTTATTTTATTTAAGAACTGGTGTTTGTAAAACTAGTCCAAATGAGGACTAAAAAGGTGGACTCAAAACAGACTGTAAAATAAACTCCAAAAACACTAGATCCTACAATTCCTGTAATGCAGCCATGTGTGGCTCAGCCTTCCCGTTAATGGCATCGTCCTTAAAACGTTCCATATCAGTTTGAAGGGCACGATGTTTCAGCCTCTAAATCTAAACTAAGATTATTTGTTTGTTTGTTTTTCAAATCAACAAATTGCAACGAGCCAGATTAAAATAGTAAAGTAAAATAACGTTATCTGGACAGTGTTCCACAGGAATATTCAAACGTAGATATTTTATTAAATAAATGAGAAGTACATTTCCTCAAAAAGATGTCATTCTATTTTATAAATTACTGTAATGTGAGTCTTAGCGTGAATGTTTTTATGTTTCCATGTTACTGAGCCTCAACAAAAGGTCATTTTCTGTCACTATGTGATGGACATTAAAGTTTTTTGAATCTTGAATCTTCACTTTTTACCTTTGTGGTTGAGTGTTGTTTGCCCACACTCCAGATGAAAATGATAATAAATACTACTTTCCTCAAGTTAAAGTATATTTACCTGAAAGAGCTGTTCCTTAAATTAACAAAGATGCACTATTCAAGAGATTGTCTACAGTATTTAAGGTCAAAGCTTAGATTGTGTTTCTCTAACCTGAAGTGTAAACATCTAACTAAACTGGAAAAACAAAAACTCTGAGCTATTCTGCATGTCCTCACATTGCATCTTTGAGCAGACCAAGGTGACTTTTAGTAGTTTAGAGTAATTCTGAAATGCAACACGGTTGACACAAGTGTCAGATTTCAGTCTGGTTTTAATTTTCACATTACAATTTCCGTGTTGAAGACCAGAGATGGAGGTCTGATTGAGGAAGACGACGACGTGAACTTACCTCAAATAGTAGAAGAAGAAGTAGTAGAGAAATAGAGAAGAGGGACAGTGAAAGGATTAGAGAGCTATTGAAGTGTTTCTGTATGAAGATGGAGGGAGGAGAGAGAGAATTAAAAGAGTGAGATTCAGAGAGAGAGAATAAGAGTTAGAGAGCTGGTATGCCCTACATGCATGGACACTCAGGTCATTGCAGATAATTATACCTATGGCGATTCCTCCATACGCATATGCATTTATAGAGCCACCCCTCCCCCCTTCATACACAAACACACATGGTCCCTTAGCACTCATTGATTACATACACCATTTAATTTCCAGTGTCCTGAAAATGGCCAGCCGAGTGGAAAAACTGCAGCCCTGTGGGATCTGACCATATGAGTGTTTGTCCTTACTTTTTAGAGTCAGACACACTAAGGTAATGTATGTTCATCTGCAGGCTGAAGGAAGGCATCACAGATCATTTCATGTCTTACCAGGGATGAGGCATTGCAGTCCCCCATCCTGCTGAAGATTTCATCATTTGAAATACTTGCTGCCTGTTTGAAAAGAGCTCAGAAGAAAATGCTCTAACATGTGTACTTTTGAGTGTGTGTGTGTGTGTGTGTGTGTGTGTGTTTTGAATTATTTTCTAAGAATTGTAAGCTTTTTCTGAGACTGCTTTGGTAGACACATACACACATACATAAACACCCACACATGCATATTTGTCAAATGTTAATGGTTTATTAATTCAAGCCTTAAATCTCGCAGATGGAAAGATTACTGATTGACGGACAGAGAATAAAAAAGAGGTGGAGGAAGGAAAAAGGAGGATAAATGGTAATAATGGGGAGAGAGAGATAGAGGGAGAGAGAGAGAGAGAGAGAGAGAGAGAGAGAGAGAGAATTAAAATCAGTACTTAGAAATAATAACCATGTCATGGCCTGATTGGTTTGGTTTTTCCATATTTAACTCAGTGGACTGGGAAATGAGAGAAAGACATAGAGGAATGGTGGCAGATTGATGGAAAAAATTAAACAAAAGACTTTCAATGAAAGGAGTTAAAAAAAAAGCAGCAGAAAAAGAAGCAAAGCAAAGGCGGTTGGGAAAAAATAAAGAAAAAGTGAACAATGAATATTGAAGGAAAAGGGAAAAAGATAGTAATAAATAATGTAATTAGTTCAACAGGAAGTACAATATAGTTTTTACACTCCTGTTATTCTGGATGAAATATTCCCCCCCTTTTATGATAGAGCTTGCTGTTTTAAGGCCCCTGTTTCTTGTCAGCCCTATGCTAAGCTAGGCTAACAAAAGGTGGACTCTGTATGAACAATCCATTTTGGTTGCCAGATTTATATCCTCTGTAGAAACTTTAGTCATGAGTGTTTGGTCTCTCTAAAGCCTGGTACAGCATGGTGTTCATTTAAAAAAAAAAAAAGAGCTTCCAAAATAACACCACAGATAGCTAACGTTAGTATTAGCTGTCAACTTATCGTTTTGTTACTCCTCGTCCTTTTCCTGTTTCACCCTTTTGTCTAAATTATGTCACCTCATGCACCTAAAAGACACAACATGGTGACGACCTTTACGCAAGTGGTCGAGGTCATGGTGTTTGTGTCCACTTTATTATACTGACAGTCAAATTAATTATTAATGTAAAACTGTAAAGAACTGTTCAGGATGGCTTGGAGATTTCACATTATGATGTTGGCAGAGGAATTCTGAAATGTTTAAACTGCTACCTCTGAAGAAAGGAAAGCTGAAACCACGTCTCACCAAAGAGATGAAAGGGGGCCAACATTTTCCTTTTATCTAAATGTGTAGATCACTGGGGATGGGCTGAGGTGTAAGCACTAATATAAGAGAGGGCACAAAGGAAATCCCAGTTAAATTCAGAGCCAGCACCAGAAAAAAGTGAAACCTCTCTGTGCCTCATTACACCAGCCTTTAGCCCGGCTTCAGACGAGAAGTAATGAGCGGCTGGACGGACGGTCATTAGACTAATAGCTACAATGGCAAAGCAAAGTCATGTTGTTCTCACATGATGACGTTTAAACCTCTGCTTTAAAAATCTTATCCTGGGAGAAATAATTCATGAGGATACTTCCAACTCGTTTAACTTAAACAGGCTGCATTCTTGAAATCCTTCTCAGAGACACCAGTTTTCAAGAACACTAGTGTTCACAGGAGAAACCTTGCCACAGGTTGTAATATTACAACATAACATTTTAACAGTTTATTATATTAACAAAAATACACCAACTTCTTCTCCATAACTCCCTAACTGTTTTCTGTCACAAGTGAAGGTGTTCATATATTCCTAGTATAATTGTATTACTATTGTATCTTGTTTCTTATCTTTAATCAATGTACAAACATTAGTTTTTAACTTTTTTGCTATTTTTGAGGATTCTACTCCTATTTTTTTGAGCTGTTGTAACAACCAAATTTCCCCTAATGTGGGAAATAATAAAGTTTTATTTTATCTTATCTGCAGTAACATCTCCTTTCCTTTCCTTTCCCTTCCTTTCCTTTCCTTTGCTTTCCTTTGCTTTCCTTTGCTTTCCCTCCCTCCTTCCCTCTGCTCCTCCTTGTTTCCTCCCATTATTACCAAATCTGGGATTAAACAGCTGTGACCAGATTTCTGTTTTTCCACCGGTTGTAATTACCGTAATTATGTAACATGAAATCACCTACCTGCTCCTAATTCCTCATATGCTTCCTCACTGCTGTCAACGTGATAATTAGGAATCCAATAAAATCTGATTACATCCTATTAAACACATGTAACATTTTTATTTTCGTTGAGGAAAAAAACAATGAAAAAAAATCAAAAAAAGTATTTCCTAATAGAGAACTAGCTCAGACTATTGATTCTGAATCAACTACACATACAGACTTTGAACCTGAACAAGACTTGTTTGCTTTCTGATAGTTTGACTGCTGTAACAAAACGCCTTTTTCCTTCAGCTGCTTGTCATTCTCTTCACACTCACAGGTAAGAGTTGGGGTTAGGGCTCTACAGCATAAGATTTGAGTTAACTTTTATTTTTATAGACAACTCAAATAAATAATCCATCATATTAATATGTTCTCAAAATGTGTGTTATTATAATAACATGATTTGTCTGCCTTAAAAGTCATGTTTATGTTTGTATTTTCTTTGTTAGAGCTTCATTTTCAAATTTCCCAAATCAAAAAAAGGATAACATGTCCACTGAGACATTTGCAGATATGTCATTGCTTTTATTTTTTACTTGAACAAAGTAAACGTCCGTCCTTCATTTGTTTGATTTGCAGATTTGACACATTATTTCTGTCACAATGAGGAGCTCTGTGACGTTTCTCCTGGCTGTCAGCTTGGCCATGTTTGGATTAGGTAAGAAAAAAGGGGATTGAAGGAGTCATAGATCTGCTCACTCATCATTTTTTATTTTTTGCTCCATTCTCCTGATAGGAGAAGCCAAGTGGAGTTAAATCAGAGAGACGATGTGTTTCACAAAGAGGAATCACATCAGCCTGAGGGGATGTTTTGGTAGTTTGCATGTTCAGCAGTGTCAAACGCTTCCAGTATAAACTCTACACAGTCAATGATAAATATTCAGTCATAATATCAATGGAGATGTTTCAGGACATGTGGGCGACTGTTGGAGCTTTTACATGAACTGAAAATGATTAAAACATAGGCCTACTTGTTATGAAGCAACAATTTTTATCAGGAATACAACAAAAAGTATTTTCTTTCTTGTACATTATATGGAATGCCAAATGTCCAAACAAACCCAACTAATATAAAAATCATTATATTTGTGTTATATATGTTATATTTGCTTTACAATTGTTTATGTGCTTTTTTATTTGCAGCCTGATTCTGTTGATGAAATCTTTGTTGGCATTGCAGCGAGTTTGTTCTTCACCGTACATTACCCCTGAAAATAACCTGTCGTCGTCAGTCGTAGCTGTGATCTTGTACGCATTGTGCGTACATTTTATTGTGCCAATCGTTTTTTTCTTTCCTGAAAATCAAACTATGACAACATCAGTCTTTGAACTCTCTTATCAAATCATTTCGATTAGCTTTCTTTGGCTTCGTCCACCGTACTTACAAAGTAACAGATATTCAATTGAAGCCTGTGATTTCATAACGTCACTGGCTTTAGGTCAAAACTAAATTAATATAAAACACTTTGGGATCTCTTCCTGACACTGATAATGTTAGACTAAACCTATGGACGCAGATTGGTATCCCAGAAAAAAAACACCTTGTTGTGTCCTGCTGCTGGTCGCCATGACTACAGTCCTCCCTTGGTTCTTGTGATTATATTGTGATCACACACAACTTCTGCCTGACCCTTTTAATGACTTGAACATTAAGATTTTAAATTCTAAATATCAAACTTGTTTGAAATAAATCGGGGCGTCCCCGACGATCGCCGGGCAGATCGGGGACGTGAAGATTGGATCTTTGTACCGCTCACACTACAAGATAATCTGATCAGATAATCGGGTCCGAGCAGCCTTCAGTCGGGAGCGACCCTGAGATTGTCGGGAAGGAAGAATCGGGGCTCAAATCGGCCTGATTATCCTGCAGTGTGAGCCAGGCTTAAGCTAACCTGCTACTGTCTGTCGCTGCATATACAGACATGACAATAGTACTGTAACAATAAACTCTCTGAACAAAGTGAATAAAGGAAACTAATCCTTTAGATAGACAGAACTGATACCCTTAATAAAGCGAGCTCTGTGTTTCTGCAGGCGTCTCTCTGCAGTGTTACTACTGCCCTGGTGGATCCTCTAGCAGCTGTGAAGTCACACAGGAGTGTAACCAAGGGGAAGACAGCTGCCTCAAACTCACCAGTGGCGGTAATGCATTGATAAGGAAAACACAACAAATTACACAGAACCTTTGACAAATGATCTGCACACCTGTTATAGATCAAGTCGATCACCAAGTAGAAACAATTTGTTTCATGTAAAAGCAATTCAGATTTGTGCTCGAGCATCTTTAGCGCTTCAGAATAAGTCGTTTTTTTTTTCCACACTGCCTGAGTTGACTGTCCTGTTCATGTGATTGACTTTGACTGTTTAGATAATAATAGATACAATAGTAATGCTATCTCTCCCACTTTCTCCCCCCCTCAGAGAGCACTTACTCTTCATGTCTGAGGGACGCTGACTGTGACTTCAGGACTCTGGCAGCCAGATACCCGCTTCCTGACTTCACCTTCTCCTGCTGTCAGTCAAACCTCTGCAATGGTCAGGAGAAAAGTTGGTGGCAGAAGATATTTGGTTAAGAAAAGAAAGAAAGAAATAATGAGTCTCAAATCATAATTTCAGTATGTTGATGCTTTCATAGAAACTGTATCATTTGTTACAACTGCGGAAGAGGATTAAACAATTAAACATATCTAAAATATCTTCATTGATGTTATTTTAATAAGACTCTTCTGGTGCAACCACACACTGTCACAGGACTTGCTTTTGCTTTTTCTGACGCTGCATTTTCTTGTTGTTGTTTATATTGTGTCCTAAAGCTTTTTTTTTTTTTAATTGAGAGTTACATTTGGAGATGTGTATGTGTTCCTCCTATAGAAAATCTCCTTTCAAAAAATTCATTTTGTGAATCTTGCAGCATTTTTCGACATAAAAACTAAAAGTCTCATTCTTTGATGTTTCAGTTTGGGAAGACAAATGCTAACCCTGCACCTGATATGACTTTTAATGATTGGTGTTCCACAAGTTAATACATTTTCTTTGAATTACATTTACTTTTGTTTTTGGATCTTCTGCTGCTCGTATTGCAAAGCCAATCAGTCAAACAGGATGTTACCATAGAATTTATATAAAGTGGAGAAAGTCAACACAACATCACATACAGCATTCAGTTCAGTTGGACAATTTTCCACTTAATTTGCCTTTTTTTGCAAACTGCATGTAAACATGATTTTGATATGAACGCTAACATCCAAACAGTGGGGCACCATTTACTCTAAAGAAATAATGGTGTCCTATCATTAATGCTAATCTTATCCCTAACTCCCCTAACCACTTTTCAGCTAAGGACCGGGTGGTCATTTTTCCTCTCATTTTTGACACATTACCTTTGAGACCACTTTTCTGCTTAATTTTGAGACATGACCCCATTGACCATTTCTCTGACACATTTCCTTGGTGGCTACTTTTGGGTGACAATTTTGGACCGGATCCCAGTGCACTTCTCAACTTAATGTTTGACAGGACCCCCGTTGACATTTTCTTGTTTGACACATTACCATGGTGACCATTTTTATCCACAATGTTGAGATAAGTACCTGGGGACCACTTTGCTGTCTGACACATTACCTCACTGACAAGTGAGTGTACCATTTTTGACACAGCTCCATGATGGGAGTCAGCTCATATTTTAATAAATTATCTCCATGATGATTTATCTGCTCAGTTTTTGACATATTGACTAGATATTGACTATTACATTTCTTGTATAAGTCTATTTTTAATTGCACAGTCTTTGTAACCTGCTATTGGATGCTTTGAATTTCCCTCGGGATCAATAAAGTTTCTGTCTGTCTATCTATCTATCTATCTATATATCTGTCTGTCTGTCTGTCTGTCTGTCTGTCTGTCTGTCTGTCTGTCTGTCTGTCTGTCTGTCTATTTATCTAGATGAGCACTTTTCAACGATATTTTCAGACAGTACACAACTAACCATTTTGTTGCGCAATTTTTGGTGACAAACCCATGTTCATGCCATGAAAAGTAAAGAAATAGAACAAAATGAATATTCTTACCTTTGTTTTAACAGACATTATTTCTCTTCATACATATCCACTGACCTCTCCTCCATTGACCCTGAATTATCAGTAGCCTGTATTTCAGTCATTTATCTTCTTGCTGTTTATGACTCTGATGCTGCTAGTTGACCCTGTGTTGGTTGGTGTCACTTCAAAGAGTGATTACAATCAGTGACCTGTTAGTTAAAATCATGTTACAGTTTTTCTCAGTCGCTTTGGTACATTTCTCAGATCAGAATTGAAATTCTCAAAACTACTTGTTCAATCTTCACATCATTGTGTCACTTGTGCACATCAAAAAAGCAGTTTCTCATTTCTTTGAACAAGTTGCAAATGCTTTGGTACATCCATGCAAATGATTATGTACAATTCTCTGCTGTTTCCTACATTATCAATTGCTTATGTCATGTTCATCAAAATGTATTATAATGGGTCTCTGTTGAATAGGACTTGTTATTCTGATGGCACTGACATGTTCATTGACACAGATATTTACTTTTGAGAGATGAACTAAGGATTTTGAGCAAGAGACTGGCTTTTGCAGGTAATCCATGGTGTTTTGCTATTTGTACAAATTGTTTTGAGAAATGCACTTACTGTTTTGCAAATGTTGAGGATGATTCGATAAATGTACCAAAGCGACTGAGAAAAACTGTAATAACAGTCTGTCATAGAGTCCATGAACATGAGAGTGTGTGTGCTGCCTTTTATTACATAAGACCACAGGCTGCTGTATTCCCTAACTGGTAATACTGGTTGTTTCTGCAGCAGTGAACTAAACAAGGTCTTAATTTGTCGATTTTAATTAGAAGGACAACATTTGTTTCTTGAAACATTAATATTTTTGTCTGTTTGATAATGTCATCACGAGTCATGAAGTCAAATGAAATGAAGATGTTTGTACTGAAAATCCAGATTGTTAAAGTAATAAAGTTGAGCTTTAAGTGAAATCATTCACAATCTATGTGAATCAAAGCAAATAATGTTTTTCATGAATTTTGTATACAGCATCTACTGTATGTATGTGTGCATGTGTGTGTGTGTGTGTGTGTTTGCAACAATAGTGTCCAGGTGGCAAGATAATTAAAAACATTTCTCACACTTGATTTTACATTGAAAGTAAACATCTGGCGGAGTAAAATAGGGAAAGACCAGGTGTGTAAGTCTGTGTGTGTGTGTGTGTGTGTGTGTGTGTGTGTGTGTGTGTGTGTGTGTGTGTGTGTGTGTGTGTGTGTGTGTGTGTGTGTGTGTGTGTGTGTGTGTGTGTGTGTGTGTGTGTGTGTGTGTGTGTGTGTGTGTACGTGAGTGTTTATGTGTGCACGACTGAGAAAGAAGAAAAACACTGAACAGCGTTGGATAGAATCGGTTCTACTTTGGTTAGGTAATCAGAAAATGAAAAATGAATGAATAAACGTAACCAAACAAAATGTTTATTTAAAGAAACCCCGGCCCTGAGAGCCAAGTACACTGCAGAGCCTGCACTTTGCTGCCTTGTTTTATGACTGCAGTTATTCATTCCAGTACTTAGCCTGTACACTCTACATAACATGGTCATATAGTACATGAACTGACACAATTAAAAATACTTATTTCTAATATCATCCATTAGACAACTTTTTCAACTGTTTCTGTAATTGACAATGTTTCTTTGTTTTTAAATTTACATTTCATTTCATGTTCCGTGGTCCATTGCAGCAAACCTTCATATTACTATAATAATAATAATAATAATAATAATAATAATAATAATAATAATAATCTTTATTTATAGAGCTTTTCAAAAACAAATTACAAAGTGCAAAAACAGGCAGGTCATAGAATAAAAAACAGACAAGATTAAAGAATAAAAATCACTTTAAGATATAAAAGCCATTTTAAAAGAACTGTAAAATACATACCATTCTTTTAATGGAATTCTAAAAAGTGAAAATAGTAACAATTTATACAGTATATATATGCAATGTCAAAGATATATGGAGACAGTTCAGTTTTTTCAAGTTAACAGGTGGCACATGAGTATCAATCAAATAATCAGTCAATCAATTTTTATTTGTATAGCGTCAACTCATAACAAGTGTTATCTCGAGACACTTTACAAAAGTATAACTATAAAATAAAATAAAACAGGTCAAAGTAATTTTACTCAAACCTGATTTCTGTGATTATAGTTAATTTATAGGATTTATTTTTGGGCTTTTTGGGCCTTTAATAGAGAGATAGGACAGTTGATAGATTCAGAAATCAGGGAGAGAGAGAGTAGAGAATGACATGCGGGAAAGGAGCCACAGGTCGGATTTGAACCTGGGCCGCCCGCTTGGAGGACTACAGCCTCCATACATGGGGCGCCCGCATTAACCACTGCACCACTGCACCACCAGCGCCCCGATTACAGTTTACTCTTAACATACTGATCAATGCACTGGTGTTTATTTTTCTGAGAAGTTTTATTTCAATGAGTTATTTCAAGCTAAAAAGGACTTTAACATCATGATTTACCAATGATTCAGCACTGTGTGCACTAGATTAGCTGAGTAGAGGAGGACCCAAGTGGTGACCTATGGTGTTGAAAAAAGATGCCAATGCAGAAGTGCAAAATAAATGCAGTTCCTCGAGTGTCCAATTGAGGGGACGGATACATTTTCTTCTGTTTTAAGGTCATGGGGCGCCTGTGGTCATGTGGTACTCTTGCCCCCAATTTCCAACTCTACTGTCCTGTCTATCTATCAGGGGCAGCTGTAGCTCAGTGGGTAGAGTTGGGTGTCTCAACCAAAAGGTTTGGGGTCTGATCCCCAGCCCCTGCAGCCACATCTCCAGTGTGTCCTTGGGCACAAATATAAAGCTGGTTTTAAAGCCTAAAGCAGTGTTTTTGGTTTTAACAGCTTTGTCCATAAACAGTGAGTTTTGTTAGCTGTTTTTTGAAAGGTAGAAGACTGTTTCTAATTAACAAGAAGATGCCTCAGTGGATAATTGAAGTTTTTCTCAAGCAGTGTTGTTTTTTCAGCCTATGTGAGGCCTCAGGAGCTTAATTCTGTTTGTCTCTTAATCTTTGCCCTCTTCTTATTCTCTCGATGTTTTTGAATTGTCACAGAGTTATTTAGTTATTAGACTGGTATTTTAGATATCAAAGACTGTAAGTATCATGAGATTGTTAGTGTCTTGTCTGTAGATGTGTGCACTGGCTTGAGAAAAAGAAATGACAGTCCACCCACTTATGAATATTTTTTGTGATTAATGCAACCAATTAAACTTGATTTATGGCAGCACTTCCTCTGAAAAAAACTGAAAGATATTATGTGTGTCTTCATGTGTATGTGCTTTCCTTTTTTGATGTGCCATTTCAAACTTTATTTTTGTGTTTGATCTGGTGCTGAATGTTTTTTTTTTCTAATTTTGTATTTTGTCTAGATTCTTCCGCAGTTAAACATTTTTCACCCCTTGAGCAGATGATAGCAGAAGCACTCACAAGACATGACAATAAATGTGGAGTTGGAGCCAGGCGTTAATTAGCCTAGCTTAGCATTATAATTAGAAGCAAACATATGTAAAGCATGGGAGCTGCAGAGCTTCCTAGTTAACACACAGATATTAAAGTGACACTAAACTTTTCATTTAAGTCTAAAAAAGTAAAAACAGTCAAAAGGAAAATCTAACTATTTTTTTTAAATGAATACCAGTATTTTCATTCTTAATTACAGTTTTTATTATTTGTTCTTTACCTAAAATGTCTTTGTTCCACTTTTATTTTCTTGAACAGCCTCATAACATGGATACACAATTGTTTGTAATATTTACTACTACCACCCTACAGTGACCCCCCTGTTAACAGCTGTTAAACTCTTAATGAAAGCTTAGCAGTAAAGCCACAGGTTGTGCACCTGTGCAGATCTATAATAAGCTTTATTGTTCCTGTAAATAGTTTCATTCCACTGGTTTGTAAGTGCATCATTCTGGTAATCAAGGCAGCAACTGGTATTTATTTTCTTTCCCAGTTGCTGTAGCACTGTTGCACAGCAGACTATCTCCATGGAAACCAGACCTGTGGAGGGCTTTGTATAATTTTTCTTTTTTTTCTTCTTCCTATAATCTCCTCTAATCCTGGACCAATTAGTTTCAGAACTGGACAGTCTCTCTTTACCTTCTTCCCTTGATCATTTTCTATTTGTCTTCCTTACTCGTCTCTCTAAATCGCTTTCTGTCTTTTTGACTGTTTCCAACAAAATGGATTTTCACTTCTTGATATTTTTCTCAGGCCCGAATGTGCTGCAGATACACACGCGCATGAACACATCCGATTATCCTGCATTCATTTTGCTTCCTATTAATCCAATTAGCTCATGGAAATTGTAGATTTTGCTTCATATTTAATGTCCTTGTATCCCCATTTCACATCCTTCCTTGGTATTCTTGGCCACTTCATCTACTTCTGTTGCTAACAAATATTTGATAATTACAAAAACTACAGCAATTAAACTGAGTTTTTACCCTCACCAACAGATTGACTCGTGTGGATTTTTTGGAAACTATTTCTACTCATTCTCCTGTCTCCTGCGTTTTAGCTCTCTTGGGGGCCTTGTGTCATGTGTGTGTGTGTGTGTGTGTGTGTGTGAGAGAGATCCCATGGGGTGTGTGTGTATGTGTGTGTGTTTGTCTCCTGGGTATCTGCAACATGCACACTCTAGGAGAACACAACACACATTCACAAACACACACACACTCTCATTCTCCCAGTCGG